TCAGAAATGTTAGCGCGTATGAACGACTGTTTTCAAGTGGTAAAGAATAATTTGGCAAGAGCAGCGGAAAAAAGAAATACACAATTTAATAAGAAAGCAAAAGATCGTGATATTGAAATTGGAAATTTAGTATACATGTTGGATTTAGGTTCAAAAATTGGACTCTCAAAAAAATTATGTAAGCCATGGAAAGGTCCATATAGGGTGTTAGAACAGAAAGGGCCGGTAACATTTAAAATAAGAGAATTATATGGGAGAAAAGAACATGTAACGCATGTAAATAAGTTGAAAAAATGTCATTTGAATGAAAGTACGCCACTGGATGTAATCGACGAGGAAATAGCTCAAGATGAAATAGTTAGTAATCGAGAAGAGAGCAACGATAATGAAAATTTTGATGATGCCGAAGAAGGAGAGGATTTAGTATTTGAGGAAACAATGAAATTATTACCTTTTATGGCAAAGCCTAATAATATTACAGAAAGGGTAACGGCGGAGCCTATCTTGAGACGCTCGGCTAGAGTTAGACGACCACCCAATCGACTAACTTTTTGAAACCATGAATATCGTTTAGATTCACATGTATGTCAAAAAAAAAAATAGTTTGATTATTCATGTATAGCTGAAGTTGTGTTGATAGATTGAAAGAGATCAGTTATTGTTTCTTGAACTATAAGACAAGGATGTCACGAGACTTATTCTGATGAATAAGCATAATGTACTCGAGAAATAACAACTGAATAAAAGTGATAACTTCTAGACGATATAACTGGCTAAGATGATAAAATGAAAGAAACCTTGATTGTCAGATATCTGTTATAGTTTATTAGTTAAGATAACTAGCTATTGAGTTATGAATTTGTAGTCACTGGTAGGCAGTTGAGTTGAGCTCTCCCGCGAAATACATTTGTAACAAAGACAATGGCGTGGCTTAGAAATTTGGTAGTATTTTATATTTTTGTTGGAACTGTGATGACCTTCATCGCATATGACTGTACGGATTCGCGTGTGAACATTTCGGTAATTTCCATAAAAGACGTGGCGGCTTGCCCAGACATACACACTGGTTATCTCGAAAAACGCGGTAAAGTGACGGTACTACAAAAAGACAATATCGCGGAGACTCATGTAAAAACATGTTTGATTGAAATAAGTAGATTAATCACACATTGTGGCATGCATAGCCACAGTTCGGTCGTAAAGGGTGGACTCTATAGTTACATACAACAAATCGGAAGTGATGTATGTTTAGACATTCACCGGTTCAAGACTTATTCCATACTAGGAAGAGTTATCAACAATGTTGTGATGAATGGGACTACTAGTTCAACGATGACTTTAGCAGGCAGCGTTAATTCCGAGGGAAAATGTGAAGGAGGCAGTTATTATGAACCTGATAATGAGTGGAATAATGTAGTAGTTACAGCCACAATAAAGATAACTACTCGAGATTACCTTGCTCCTGTGAAATTATTGGAAAATGAAGTTAGTATATTCGGGGGTCTAACATGTCCATATGCAAAAGGGCATTGTTTTGATTCCACTTTCGGAGAAACCGTCTGGGAATTGAATAATAGAAAAACTTGTGCAGAAGACCTCACTGTTCTCTTCGAAGGAGAGGGACAGTGGATAACAGAAAAGTTGGAGGGAAATAAAATAACTGGACGTTATGTGGTGATTGAACAAGAATCAAGAATATTTGCGTTAACCCTCGTAGAAAAACATGAGATTTGTGGATTCACAACCTGGAGAACTGAACATCCACAGATAATCATTGTAACTGAAGACGATAATTTCCGAAATGTTAGAATCAAATCTCATAGTCCTGAAGAAAACATTGATCTTATGGTTTATGTAAACAGTAAATTTTTATATGTTGAACAATCTTATAAACGAGCAATACATCATCTGTATCGAGATACTATCCATAGAAGATGCTTGTTGAAGAGAGACATCTTGATTAACCGTTTGACATTGGCACCTCTTACCCCATCAGCTGTCGGTCTGTTGCTGAAGAAAGAAGTTGGTTACATTGGTAGAGTACTTGGAGAAGTATTGTACGTTATCAAATGTATTCCGAAGAATGCAGAAATTCGTAGGATTGATAGATGTTTCAATGAATTGCCTATAACTGTAGACAATAAATCCTATTATATGTCAGCCATCACTAGGATTATCCAAAATCATGCTGAAGAAATTGAATGTAGCCCTCTAACCCCTCCGTTATACCGGGTAGATGGTCATTGGATAGGATTGTCACCTAATCCAATCATAAGTGACCCTCCCAGTGTTTTAGAAGTAGATTCCGAGACCACAATAAGATTTAGCCCTATACAACCTATTAGTACTAGTGGTTTGTATACAGTAGAAGAAATTAATAAAGCCCAACGTAGTTTGACTTTCGGAGTGGAGAGACAAGCAGTTGAAAATATCATAACCAGAAGAGTAGCAGGTTTCGAAGTTAGCAACCAGGGATATTCTACATTGAACATATTTGAGCCAGCAGAAATGGAAAAATTGGCAAAATCCACGTTGCGAAAAATATGGGGATGGTTCACTGATGTAGGGATATTTTTCAGTGGAGTTATGGGAATTTATATGATTTTCAAATGCATTCAGTACTTTGTAGGAATTATCCTGAATGGCGTTCATCTTTATAAAATATTTGGATGGAGTTTAGCACTAATCGCCAGTATTTGGAACACCTTAACTATGTGGTTGGTTCATAGACATTATGTGAAAGAAGACCGCGGAAAACATTCTCACAGCACTGTGATCGAAGTTGGAACAAATGAACTGACCAGTGGCGGAGTAAATAGACTTTATCCTGACGTACATTGGACTGAAAACGCGAATATTTCATCGGCACCTAGTGCGAAAGTTTAATCGAGTGCGCGACAATGGGCAATTATACGTTGGCCAGTGCGGTCCCCAACAATGTTTCGTTGTAGAAGAGGAATGAATCCCTCATAAATTTTGTACTACTTAGGCTTAGGATAATACAGAAATCTGAAGAATCAAGTTTGGGTTATAAGTAATATAGGATTAGTTCATGTGAATTAGAATAGGATAATGAAGGTGGGATTTATACATATACTTATGTAGTTGGAAAATGGTTCATGAGGAAAAGATTGCTACCCAGTGGAGTAGGCATTCTTTTTGTTTCGGGGGGGTATTGTAACAGTCACCCTGTATTTGAAAAGCTATAAACAGATTGCATCGAACGAATTTCTACGGTTCGACTAGAATTGCAAAATCAGCGTTTTGAACATTAGAACGACTTGGGAATAGAGAGAGACGAAAGAAAGATCAGGGAGTCGGGTCGAAGATATCGAAGAGGAGTGAGCGTGAGATATTGACGTCGAGAGATCGGTTTCGGAATACGCGAAATCAGCCCTGAAGGGTAAAACTTAAGATGCGAAATCGGTGTTAAAGTTTAAATTATGGTTTAATCTTCCATTCATATTTTTGAATATTCAATTTGCGCGACTTGCAGATTGATTTGGTTTTGGGTATTTTTTTTTTAATTAAAATTCAATTGATATTTATACTGCCGCGAGAACGCGAACGCGTTAATATAGAGTGGTACTAATTTGTTAATGTGAATATATAGGGAGAAAGAAGGGTCTGTAGCTTAACCTATAGGGATGGTTATACCAGGTCGTCGTTGATGCAGAGTTATTTGGGTGAGATCAGATCAATTTTATCTGCTTATCGTTTGGATGCAGGGAAAGCTTCTTTTCTATGTTATTATTAAGATAAAATTAATTTTTTTTCTCTTTTATTGAGAACCATTTTCCAAATCTTTTAATTGTTGTTTGTTTGAACGGGTTCTATCTTTCTTTTGGTTTTTTTGTTATTTTTTCCTCTTTCTATTGTCATGTTCTGTTTTTGTGTAATAAGTTGTTTTCAATAGTGCAATATAAGTTTGGTTATTTTCCTTTTGAAGTAATGCGTTTGAATACCAATTACCCCTAAAAATATACCCTAGATCCAAACGAATCTGCTTTACAGCGGTACAGGGCTACGAACCCCAGGCATCTCGAACCAGTGGCTTTTATAAATTATATAATATCCGTCCTAGTGCGGACAAACACTAGGTGGTGGCAGCATATCTACAGGGGTTGACGGACTTCCAGGGTTGTCCTGGAGTTCTTTAGCATCGTCGTACGAAAAGGGTCAGGCTGACAAGTGGTCAGTAGTCTCATCAGAGTGGAGGTACGAGAGACGACACAACTTGAGAAGGCGACAAATGAGAGATATGGATATCATTATACTTAAAAAATCTATTTTTTAATTATTATCCACAGCTATCATATATTGAATAGGTAGCTGGAGGTTACAACAAAATAATTCTCTAAAATCAAAAAGTATTCCTACCAAATTAAAATTTTTTCACTTGTGTTCCACAAAGATTTTAGAATTTGTTATTTGCTTATCATGAGGTTTCATGTGTACCTATTTCAGAATAATTATCGGGATTGAATTGTGTACAATCGATAGTTTTTTCGGTAATTCTGAAAAAATCCCGAAAGTTCATCGCAATTCATCGACAAGAAGAGTTGCGGTTTTCCTAATTCGGTTTTTAAGGCAAAATGGGCCACAGAATTGAATGAAGTCCTATGGGAAAGACGGAAAGATTTCAATTTACGTCACATGATCGGCTAGCACAGGACAAATAAACATTTTTCATTTCATTCAATAAGATGAAACTTTTGTGCCAAGGAAGGATCACAATTCAATCAAAAGCATAATGAAACCAATTTCAACTACTAAATTTTGCCACAGGGCGTTAAGAAATAAAGTGACTTTGATTTTTCCCTGTATGAAGATCCAGTCATCAGCTTTTCACTTAAACTCAGGCTAACATTCCGTAACATAAATCTACGATGTGATCGAAACTTCACAAGAATCGGGCAAGGATTAAAAAAGTAACAGAACGAACAATTCTGGCAATTTTTTGGTGGCCGTTTTTTTTGCCGTTGAGCGTAGATACTCACCGTGCAGTTGAAGCACTGACTGTGATAATTGTTGTTCAAAGCCTCTACCCAGCGATCGCCCGCTTCGACGGGAAACCCACATGCGAAGCACTTGGTGGTGAACAGCTCGTTCCAATCGTTTTCGCAGTACGGCATGCCGTCCTCCAAGAAGAACGGCGAGTTGCCGAACAGCTTGCCGCAGTAGGTGCAGTTGAAGCACTCCGGATGGAAGTTTTTGCCGATGGCTTTCAAACAGTCCTGCCGAAAACGTCAAAATACCAATAGGATCGACTTTATAGAAACTTTTAGCATTTCAACTTGAGAGTCTTTAGCCATAATGAGTGGATTCTGTTATGAAAAAAATAAGATTCAAGGGTAATAGATGTCATCTGTCCTTACTGACATCTGATTTTTGATACAGAATCGAATTTTCAAAAGTTTCAGTTATAAACTGTTGTTAGAAATCATGCACTTGCTACTCTAGCTGTTCTTGCACCGACTGCATCGAGATAATTGGTGACCGGACTTTCAATCAACACCATAGTCTTGAATAAGTACAGTGACTTCGAATTTTAACAATCAGTATTCAGTTATCTCTTAATAATTATCGAAAAAAATGAAGAAACACAAATGAAGCACTTGGTGGTGAACAGCTTGTTCCAATCGTTTTCGCAGTACGGCATGCCGTCCTCCAAGAAGAACGGCGAGTTGCCGAACAGCTTGCCGCAGTAGGTGCAGTTGAAGCACTCCGGATGGAAGTTTTTGCCGATGGCTTTCAAACAGTCCTGCCGAAAACGTCAAAATACCAATAGGATCGACTTTATAGAAACTTTTAGCATTTCAACTTGAGAGTCTTTAGACATAATGAGTGGATTCTGTTATGAAAAAAATAAGATTCAAGAGGAATAGATGTCTTCTGTCTTTACTGACATCTGATTTTTGATACAGAATCGAATTTTCAAAAGTTTCAGTTATAAACTGTTGTTAGAAATCATGCACTTGCTACTCTAGCTGTTCTTGCACCGACTGCATCGAGATAATTGGTGACCGGAATTTCAATCAACACCATAGTCTTGAATAAGTACAGTGACTTCGAATTTTAACAATCAGTATTCAGTTATCTCTCAAACAAAAAACAAATGTGAACCAATGAAAACAAATTAAACATGCCGCTTTGACAGCTTCCAAGAACTCTGATAGGTGGCGTACGCTTATTTTCTATCGCGAATAGGTTATTGATCATATTTTACTTAGAAAGAGTTGGCACTGACATAAACTACTAATCTACAAGTAGCTTGCCGCTTTAAGTGCAGTTGGCAGTTGAGTTTTTGCCGATAGCTTTCAAACAGTCCTACCGAAAACATCACAATCTAAGATATTTTACCAAATATAGTAACCTAACCTGAGATATGTTACCAGATCTAGTAACCTAACCTGAGATATGTTACCAGATCTAGTAACCCAACCTAAGATATGTTACCAGATCTGGTAACCCAACCTAAGATATGTTACCAGATTTAGTAACCTAACCTAACCTAACCTGAGATATGTTACCAGATTTAGTAACCTAACCTGAGATATGTTACCAGATCTAGTAACCTAACCTGAGATATGTTACTTGAAAGTCTTTAGGCCATGAAAAGTGGATGCCTTCATGAACATATTCAGATTCTAGGGGAATAAATGTGTTCTCTCTCTTACTGACATCTTGTTTTCGATACAGAATCAAATTCTCAAAAGTTTGAGCTAGAAACTGTTGTTAGAAATCAAAATTTCCTACTCCAGCAGTTAATGAGAAAGATCTAATTATCAAAAAACCCTAAGAGAATTGAAACTAATCAATGGGCGTGTACACCTTAGTAGAACTTTTAACTCAAACCATGTTTATAATGATCCTTTTATACATAAATAATGATTGACGACATAATTCGATCGAAAAATTAACTGGAATGTTTTATTTTTGGACATTAACGATAGTACCTTCTGAAAACGGAGACCCTCTTATGACGTAGAAACCCCATCTCGCCATATATATATATAAACCATATATATCTACTACTGATATATGAATCATAGCTCTCCTCAAAGCGGGACCCATTTCTGTCTCTATAGGTAATGAAATCGACCAATAGGCGTTGATACCGACGTAGAGAAAAAATAATAGGAAATTTGTCAAACCAATATGGCTGTTTCCATCCTTCACTTTTCGTTCTCATAGATTCAAAGAGTACCTCTCATTTTGGTCCCATTTTTGTTGAGATATCGTATAGGCGATGCGCCATATATAGAAATAGTAGATATATGGTTGAAACTGACACTCTCCTGACACTTATTACTGTTGCCATATCATCCAAACAAAATATCCGAGAAATCGATATTGAAATATCTTTTGATATCCACTACCACTACTGCAGAAAAATATATTCGAGTTGTCGATTGTAGGTTGAATCATTATTGGAGCATAAACAATCTCTAGACAACGAAATGCCTCAATCTCAAAACCATTTGCACCATTACAATTTCACAATAATCCAATATATTTCATAAACATAGCAACATTGCTTTGTTGACCCGTTTCACATGGAGCTGCAAAAAGTCAATCTAGGTTAGAATTGATTTGTCAGAAATCATGTATCATTCATCTCTGTCTGGAATAGTCTTGTTTCAGTATTAGGGTTTTGACGTCACATCATCGCCTCGTTTTCAGAGGTCCGAAAAATCGGGGATTTCAATAATTTTTTATAAAACATAGGGAGCTCACAGCAAGAAACGGTTTGCGGTGGTGAGCTAGTTTGGGTGAGTTCTATCGAATTATGAAATAAAATTTTTTTGTGATATAAGCCCATTATCCACCTTGGTTTAGTAAAAAATCATTGAATTTTTTCGTTTGTTTGTATGATTCCTGGAGATTCAACAACTAATTCGAAAACTATAAGAAATCACTGAAACGTACCCCTTTGATTTTGCCATTGCACTTGGAACAAGGTGGCGCTAGGTACTGTTCGAAGCAGTACTCACAGTACAACTGGCCACGCTCCTCAACAAATCCCATATCTTGGAGAGGCCTTTTGCAAGACGGGGTGGCACAAATAAAATGATTCGGGCACCATATTTTCCCCAAAGCCGTGATGAAGGGTCCTCTGTCGAAAAACAATAAAAAACGGTCAGCTCCATAGTTTCCTGATTTTTTTCTAGTTAGTTACCTAGGTATTTCAGAGTCACACTTGCAACAAACAGGCACATCGCTAGGGTTATTTTTCGCATCGTCAATTTCTTCTTGTCTAGCACCGTTAATGAAAATTCTGTTGACGCTACGAGGTTTTTTTTCCTCTACGGTCTGATTGGAATAGGTGAGGTTGTCAGGTAGGGACAAGTTCTCAGCACTGAGATGGATCGAAGAACGAAAATCTCTGATGGGAATGTGGAGCTCGGAAGTGACTTTCTTATTATTACTATTGCCGTTGGACACGGACACTTTGGCGTTATTGACTATGTAGTTCATTCTAGGACTTTGCGTATCAGACACGCTGACTTTTTTCAGTTTGGGAGTGAGATTTCGGATGTCGGAAAGCACTTTTTCTCTAGCAGAGTCACCGAGTTGTGCGGTTTTACCGCTGGAAGAGCTATAAGAGCTATAGTCTGATCTAGGGCTGGACCCTTTGGAGTCCAGTTGGGGCGAAAGGCTTTGATAGGGGATGGAAATGTTGATTTGCGTGTAGATTGGGACGGGTGGTGGAGGGGGAGGATTTTTGGGGAATTCCAGACCGATTTCGTCCAGCTCTACGAGGTTTTCGTTTTCGCTAGCATGGCATACTTCACTTACATGCTCTAAAATTAAAAAAAAATCATGCAAAAACACATCAATGTTAGTTTATGGTTGATTTGGTTCGAACCAGAAAGTCACACGACTATATTTACTATTAAAAATCACGAAGTGGCGACGTTTTAGTGTTAGTTTTATATGGTTTAGTATTCGATGAGTCAATTCTGATTCTATTCCTTCAGTTTTTAGACTTTGTTTTACAATATTAAATAAACAAAACAGTAGAAATAGAAAAAATATTGTTCACACAAAATGTCCCTTGTGGCTATGAAATAATATAATGGTAAATATCCAGCTAAACATATACAGGGTAACTGGAATAAATTCGCTATCCAGTAAGATTTTTTTTCTTAAATTTTCCGACATTGCAAACTGGTGAAAATGCCTTATTTATCTGAATCGCTAAAAATCGACCTCAAACATACTACAAACTGAAATTTCATTAGTATACTGGATTTCACTTTCAATCAGCTTTTCAATGAGGGGTCACAAGACATAGGGTTGCATCTGAAAAAAACATGTTGGGGCTGATTTCAGCTTCCCCTGAAGGGCAATATTCTTTATATTGCTTGAAATATTCAGGTAAATACATTTAAACTTTGACGTGTCTCGCGAATTTTGAGAAGAATCATTTTATTTATTTCAAGTGTCCACCCTGTATAATGCAGTATATGTATACTTCTGGAAAGCACTTTGTAGCAGTGGAATAACAACTAAGAATAGTTTGGAAACATTCCCAAGAAGTTGTTTAAACTAGGGAAAAAGAGTGAAAATTCCAACTTTTATTTTTCTATTCATTGAATGATGTCGGAAATAAATATCAATTGAGAACCATTCACAATGGCCCACTTTAGGGGGGCTATAATTGCTTCTTCCAGATACATCAAATTGACGATTTGTTTACAAAAAAAAAAATCTATTGATTCACATTAGAAACCTCTACGTGATTTTCAGCACCACCTAGCGGTTAGTAGTACACCAACAGCCCCAACAAACATTAAACAAGCCTCAAAATTCCACACGTCATCAAGACATAAAATCAAGCAAACACCACAACGACCTCCATTTTGTACCTTATCTGCATGTTACAAGACCCGCAAAGAGGGACCCTAGCCCCCGCTAGGCTGGCAGTATTCAGCACCCCTCTACCGCGCCTAGGCGCCACGCTGATACTGCCAGACTGCCGACCGCTACCAGCACCTGAGTCAGGAAGGGAAACAGAGGGTTGGTTAGGTGTCTTACACGAACCACTACCAGGCGGATCGACATGCTTGACAGGAGCGAACACGCGTTTAGTAGCGGCGCAGGAAGCGTTAGGCACCTGTGGCTGACCACCTGTTGATTGCGGGCAGGCGCTAATAGGCTTAAGCGGTCGGGGATCTGTGACGTGTCCTTTGCCGGTATCTTTGTCGGTAAATGAAGGCACCTGTGGCTGACCACCTGTTGTTTGTGGGCAGGCGCTAGGCTTAAAGGGTCTGGGATCTGTGACGTGTCCTTTCACGGTATTCATGTCGATAGATGGAGCGTTGACCTCGTGAAAAGGCAACCTCTTCGTAGTGGTCACGTTCTTCTCTATCTGTATGTTGGTTTCCTTTTGACATCTCTCGAACTCCTCGGTTACTATCTTCTTTCTCTGGATTTGAGTATTACCGGACCGTTCCACACTCTCTACCTGTGACTTTTTCAATTGTTCCAAATATGCTTGTCTGCTCTGCTCCTCTATGGAAGTGCTCGTCATAGTATCCCCGCTCTGAGCTACGTACTTCTGAGCCCTATGATCTTCAGAAACCTCAACTTTCTCAGCAGCATAGCAATGTTCTTTCTTTTGAACCAAACCACGTTGCTGGTCCACGAATTTCTCAATCACCGAAATGTCCACAGGTTTGGCGTAGCTGTGAGTCTGCACCGTTGATTGGTACATTTGGGTGGGTCTTCCCAGAGGATTTGCTGGAGGACCAGGTGCTGGACTGACCGCTCTGACATTGCTCTTTGCTTGTACTCCAGGTGAAGGACTGCGTTCCCGTCCAGCAGGACAAGGGCTCGGAGATCTAGAAATGTCCGGGGTCTTGGGGTCGAAAATGTGAACTGCTGGAGCGGTCATATGCTGTGGCACCAAGTTCGCTTGGTAGTAGGGTATCACTTGAGGAGGTTTGTTGATCAAGCTTGGAGTTATAGATCCCGGTCTGGGGGAAAACGTGCGGCTGGGAGGTCGTTCCACGGCCACAGGCTCGAAAGTCCCTCTAGGATCGACCTCCGACTCGATTTTGATCACTGGTTGCGGTACGACCTGTTGAGTGTCTCGCACTACTTGTTGCTGCTGCATCTTCTGCTGCTCTAGTCTGCTCTGTGCTTTCTGCATTTTTTCCATGCGTACCAATTCAGCTTCAGCTTCAGCTGAGAGATCGACTTGGTACTGGGGCAAGTATTCGGGCTTGTGCAGATGTACCGGTTGTACTGGTTTCTTCATGACCACCTCCTCTGCTTGCTTGGCCCTTTGTTCTGTTTTAACTTCTTCTCTGATTTTCTCTTGCTTCTTAGAAGACTGGCGATGTTCACGTTGCTCTTCAGTTATAGTTTCCCTCTGAACGCACTCTGAATTACTCTCCACGGTTTTGACAACCTGTGGTGGAGGAGGAGTCATGACAGGTGGCGTCGTAGTTACTTCCACAGAGAACTGAGAGTGCTCAGTTTTGTTTTGGAACGAGCAGGAAAAGCCTTGGAACAATGGTGCATAGTTTTGAACGACTGGTTCTTGCTCTACTACTTGCACCTGTGGTTTCTGGATAGTTTCTTTTTGTATGGTCGTGGTTATGCTGGTATCGCTCTTCTCCATATGTTCCTCAGAAGACTTTTCTTCTGTTCTTTGTTGCAAAACGACTGGGGAGTAGTAACTAGGCGGCTTAGGCTCTTTCTTGTTCATCTGGAACGAAGTGGGCAGCACTTCAGGCTTCAAAGGTCTCTGAAACTGAGATCTGTCGATATCAGTACTTGCTTTAACCTCAGAATTCAGGGTGGTACCGGTACTTTCGGCGATAAGAGGCGAATAAGATCGCTCAGGAGCAGTAGTGAGAGCGGTTCTCATAGAAAGCGTTTCTTGTGGCTTCGGCAGGTCATCGAAGTATATGTCAGTAGGATCTTTTTTCTTCTTTCGTCTCAGCGGAGGCGTAGCGGCTTCAGAAGAACCATCAGGGGTCGTTCCCAAACGACTCTTGGGTTTTTCTGGGGGGTTCATATCTTCCACTTCAGTACTCATCGGTCTTTCGGGTGGAAAGTACGGAACCGTCTCTTCCGGCAATGGTACCGCTTCATAGTGAGTACCAGTAGGAGTGAATGGAGCACTTGGTGCTACGGCCAGAGCAGAAGCTAGGGCAGAACCTGAATATTTGGGTGGTATCTGAGAGAATGTGTCCGCGTCAGGAGCTGTAGTCCTGATGGCTTGTGTTAAAGGAGATTCCCATTTCAGGGGCACACAATTGTCTATCTTGCTTGGTACGATTGGTTTGAAGTCACAGTTCTCCTTCTTCTGACAATAAGCAGAGTCTGCTACATCCATTGGGCATGAGGGTTCTGGCGCTGTTTTTTGAAGCTTATGAGGTTCTGTATGGGGTATATTTATTTCGATAGGAGGAGTTGTGATGCTGACGATATTCTCGACCAATCTCTGAGTGTCCAAGTATCCAGAAATGGTTTCTCTGCACTCCATGGCGCTTCTCCTTCCCCCTGGAGAATACGCCATCGGTTTTGGGGAGTAGAATTGGGACATGTCGTTGAAATCAGCTGGTACCGAACTATCCCCGATAATAGCTTCGATTTCCAATTCGGCTGCTTTCTTGCTGAAGATTTGTTGTTCGACTTGCGAGGGCGGGGGGTAAAACAAAGGACAAGCGGTGGGGAGCTCGGGGGATTCGTGGGGAGGGGGCCAAATAACGTTTTCGACAGGGCAGGCTTTAGCATAAACGAGACAAGTCAGTGAGTTTGACAAAAGGCAGGGAGAATTGAAGAAAAATTAAATTAGTAAAGCGAATTGAAGCTATCGTATTATAAAATAGTATAACTATGGAAATATGGAGATTTTTTTTATAAAAATGCTGCCGACATTTCATTATTAAAAAATATAGGAACACGACTTAAATGCTAAAGCTGTTAGCTAATTGTATTATTCTAGAACGAGGGAGAAAGGTCTAGGTTTCGCATTGTAGGATTTTTCTGGAAAAAAAAGGAACACAATTTGAGTTTACCTCGAGTTATACTATTTTACATTACCAAGTTCATTTTCTACTGCTAATTATTGCAGGGAATGTGAACTGCGGTTAAAAGTGGCGGATATAACAATATCAGTACCTTTGAATAGGCCACCAGAGGACTTAACAGAGGAAGGAAATCGTCCTAAGAAACATCGAAAATATATCTAAAGGACACATTTCAATAGCAGAAAGGTTCATTGAAGTTGAAATACATATGAAATATAGAATGTTCTAAACGGTGAGGCATTTACTTCAAGAGGATATGACATTTCAAACAAAGTTGCTAAAATCAAATTTGCAGTGTGAGGCGATAAAAATGCCCGCACCTTTGAGATCACCTTGTATGGGTATCCGAATATTCTTGGATTTTGTGAATGTTGTTACCTGTTGATGATACTGGGCTATAAGCTGGAGTGCTATAGTTGTTGTTGTTGAAAGATGGCGCTGGCGGTGCAACAGGTGACAAAGGCGCTGCTTTATGAAGAGTGGGAGCACTCACACTTGAGAATGGCCTAGGTCCAGAAATATTGGATGACTAAAATAACAAAAAAAAGTCGTTCATACTAGGTACAATGACATCGTCCTTTATATACGCTCACCGGCAAAAAAACCCGGCCAGCAAAAAAATTTGCCAAATTGATCGCCCTGTATCTTTCTCAATTCTCGTCCGATTTCAGTGAAATTTCGACCAAATTGTAGATTTGTGTTTTGAAATTATAGCCTGAATTTTAGTTCCCAGGATAAAATGATCACTTGATTATTGTACAGGGAAACATAAAAGTTAGTCTTTCATCCTTAATTTCTTAAAAGCCCTGTGGCAAAAGGGAGTGATCGAACTAAGCTTCATCATGTTCTATATCGAAGAGTGTCATCCCTTCATAACACGATGGTTTTTAATTAATTTCGATTTTTTTACCGGTGAGTGTAGTTTGTATCTCAGAAAACTCCATATAATTTCAAAATAGTCACTTGCTCTTGAATATTCTGAAGAGCAATGGCTGCTTTCTGGAATACAACTGAATGAGTCATAGTTATTAGATGAAAATCACATTCCACAGAGTGTTAGAAAACTCACCTTGTTCAAAAATTTGCTGAAGGGAAGAGGAGCAGGACTACCATACAAAGTATTATTGTTACCGTTAGTGTTAGCCTCTGCTACATTGGACTTCGGTAAGTCCGTCAAAGATGGTACAACATCGATATTTTCGTTAGATTCCTGCGCCTGAAAGGTACCCATATGGGTCGTGTTGATTAAGGTGGTGCTTCATGCAGACGACACTGGTGCAAGTTAGAGTTATGGTGGAAATCAAGGTAAAAAGAATACATTGGACCATAAGTAACAGAAATCAGAACCTTGGAATTGCCCTATATAGATTCAATATCTTTTGTGCATTATTTTGTTTCATACAGATTCTTACGTAGAAACAATAATACACTTCATTTAATTTTTGTAGTTTACTACACTATGTAAGATGTTTCTTGAATCTAATTTCAATGGGTCTCCTAGTTTGTACTACATATCTTTTGCCGCAAATTCATTTTTCAAAAACCTAAGTCTCGGAAGTCATTGGGTTGATCTTCCATATTATAGCAATCAATCAATCAACTCTAATATTGCCTAGAAACAACACCACTATAGTTTGTGCTGAAGAAAATTCAAACTAACTATTTCATGATGAAAACTGTATTTAGGCCCTAGTTCATGTATCTAAATGTGCTATTTCTTTTCAATGATTCAGTTGGTTTTGCTATCTATGAGAACAAATGAAACACGTATGAAATGAACAAGAAAAAAGCCCATGATGATATGCAATCTGACAGCAACGGCCTTTCTCAAAGCCAGTGCGTAGCGGTGTTGCCACAAAAGTATTTCGTAGTTTCGAAGGGTAGTTCACACTATTTTTCTGAATTTTCTTAGGATATTCGATATAACTGTATTACGTGATCATATTGCCGAGGTTTCAATAGGTCTGTTCGTTTATGTTGCTAAACTTGCTAAAGTTGATTTTGTTTCCATAGTTGTCTCTGTTCATGGCATGATGTGAAGAGAGAAAGTCATAGAAAAAAATCAAGTTTAGCAAGTAGAGCAAACACAAACGAACCTGAATGAATCTGTCATTTTTTCCATCAGTATTCTTGATACCTCAAAAGGGTTATTTCGATTCCATACCTGATAAGATGGAGCGACGTTATTGGCTCTGGGTGACAGTTGAGACGGACTAGGGAGAGAGTGAGATGACAGAGCCGAAGAAATAGCGTGGGCAGGAACCTTGCCACCACTGAAAAAGGAAAATTTTCTCTAGAGATATTTCACATTGAACATTTTTCAATGAAAAAATGTGTCTTACTTACGGCTGTACTGTGATGGGCGTCAAATTGGGGTTGGGGTTGTTTTTGATAGCAGCAGCTTTGGCGTGAATGTCACAATAGAGTTTGTTGTTGATGTTGTAGTACCTGTAATACAAAAACCTATGAATATCCATTCACTATCGCTGAAAAAAATTGAAGATACCAAAAAAAAACATTGTCGGAGGGCCGATCATCAGAGGAATCGAGATTTGGTATGGAAATTATTAATTAGAAATTGATAAAAATAAATTTTCGAAATAAATATTTCTTACCCAACGTTTTTGAGGGATGTTCCACAAGTTGAACACTTGAAGCATTCAACGTGCAAGTTTTTGTCCTTGATTCTCACGAAAACTCCGCTAAAATGTGTAACAAAGCGAATTAGTCAATGGTATGCTATGATACAGAGTGTTCTAATATAACGGCCTCATCGAGGCTATTGTAATAGAGGACACGCTGTATTATATAAATTGAAACAAGGTAAAATAACACAAATACCGATGAACAGTATTTCTGAAGAGCAGACGAAAAAATCATTCCAACAAAAAAATACTACTGGAGGAGAGAACTATCTAGAGAACAATAATAAATGTGGAAGGAACATGCAGAAGTGTGAAAAAGTGAAAGTGGAGTAGACAAGAACGCATCCAGATCACGGTGTGCAATACATAACTACATGCTCTAGGGAAAATTCTAATCCGAACAAAAAAAATGACATTCACATCTACGTCAACTACTGACACAGACCCAAACTGTCATTTGAGCCCCCCCAAAAAATATGACAAACAATTCTGAATAGTGAGATAACTAAAGATCAAATAAACATCGTAAAACCAAAGGAAACTAAGGATACTAGGTATTGTAGTAATCATGATTCTTTTTCTTCAAACGTCAGGATATGAGCAGGCGGACACTTTTTTCTAGATTTTGACCTTGCTATTCAAAGAAAAAAATACTTTTTCTACTAGCATGCAGAAAAGTCCACTCATTTTAGTGTTGAAAGAGTCACTTTTCAGCACTAGTGCGTAAAAAACTTATACATAGGCACTCATAAGATAGATCATATCATTATAATCAAGATGTCATACACTGTTGAATGTAAATAAGCAATTTTATCAGTACCGAATGATTATCTAGAACCGCGCATTGGCTTTGTTATAGGTGTCAACATTTCTTGACGTTTGAAGAGAAAAAACAGACAGACAAAACTTGCCCCAAAAGGTCCGTTCATCTACGATGTTTATTATCTTTGAAACAGCTCCAAAAAAAATGACAACCTGTTGTTTCGGGTTGAAGCAACAGGTTTCAAACAAAAAGAACCTGTTGATCACTAATTCAGTATCATTCGAAATTCTCAACGAATTCAATGATATTTTAGCGCGTGCCACAACCATTGAACTCGATGTAAACAACATTGAGTTCATTGGTTTCGGGTTGAAGCAACAGGTTTAAAAAAAAACACCTGTCGCTGTCGATCACTCTAATTCAGTATCATTCTAAATTCTCAACGAATTCAATGATATTTTTGGGCGTGCCACAACATCGAATCGCAGTCCAGCTTACACTATGACCCGTTCGCACTCCGTACAAACTGTCCCTCCTTCTTGGGAATTGGGAGTCGTTTGGGGGGTCGATTGAGTTTGGGAGGCGGTTCGAATTTGGCGGGGGGCGGCTTTTTGACCGCCGACAGCGTGACTGTGCGTCGAATAAAAATCAGAGCGGGTTACTGTTGGACAAAAACAATGTCAGCTTCAAAAATTCGTCGCTATGAAAAAAGGGCGCACATGGTGATTTCTACTACTAAATTGAAGCGAAGTTCTCACAGAATTTTCAGGTATTGAAGCTTATTTTATGGAAAATCTAGTTGGTACACAAATTGGATCAAACAGTAAGGGTTTGCTATATACATATCATTTCTGTACAATATTTCTTTAGATAAATATAAAATAATAAACACACTTTTATTATTTCCTTTTTTGCACTCCTTTTTAGTTTACTTCTTTTCAGTTCGATAATCTATCTCTTTAGTTTTCTAAACTTTACTGTATATTTTTTTATTTCTTAGTTTGGCTAACTATAAAAGCGTGTTCCATAATTTTTTCAAAACACTATTAATTACAAAGCTCGTTCGACATATTAAATCCGTCATCTTGAATTTTCTAGTTATGATGGAGGAATCATGATTACAAAACTCGTTCGCCATATTGGATCCGCTATCTTGAATTAAAATTTTCTTATTTTAACTAAGAAATCATATTGTTCGACCCTGAAAAACCCTCAGATACCAATATTAAATAGAATCGGATCATACATATTAATAAACTCGTTCGCCTACCATCTCGAATTTCCATGATTTGACGAAAAATTCATAATCTACGAGTCCAAAAACCCCCAGATACCAATTTTGAACAGAATCGGATCATAATTACACAGGTCGTCCGTCATATTGGATACGCCATCTTGAATTTTTAAATTTTGAGGGAAGAATCATAAACTACGACCCCAACAACCCCCGAATACCAATTTAGAATAGAATCGGAACATAATAATTACAAAACCAATCCGCCACCTTCTCCTGACAATATATCAAAGTAGGCTTTTCCGCACGTTAGTAGAAAAATACCTTTTGCCTACTAGCAGAGAACAAAACCCCTCACATGAAATTTGATATACTATCTAGATTTGCAATAAAGTTAGCCTCAATCTCTGAAATTTTTGTGACAATCATTCGAAAACTCTTCAAACTACCTCAACTTCAAATAATAAGTAGTATACATTTGCATGTTAGATTTTTTGACGCTTATTCAAGTCTCTAAAAAGAGTGGAAGTCCAATAAACTGCACTTTCAGGGTTGTCGCATGTCCGCTTTTCCATGGTTGCCAATGTTTCGAAAATTCGAAAAAAAAATCGCCTTTTCTCGAAAATACTTACACGATGAGCCTCTCGCAGTCTGCGCAGATGTTTTGGCCAGGAGGCAGCTGAGGATTCGACGCAGTTGGGCGTGTCTCTGGGGCTTGCACGTGTCTCAGACCGGCCACTCCGGTTATGGGGGCGGTGACAACGCCCGAATCCGGCTCTGGAGAGGGTGGGGGGATAGGGTGAAATACAGAGCGATATCGTGAAAAACGTTCAATTCAACAGGCCGTCAAAGTTCTAGAATTGTTTCGTCTCGGTGTGTGTTTTTTTGGGTGCTGTGTGACGAGATATATTGAGCGAACCAGGTATATGGGATAGAAAATATGGGACCAGCCAGGTACATCGAAATATTTTTTCGTGATCTAATTTGTTCACTAATGATTGTTATAGCAAGAAGAGGTGATTTTCAATTGTTCCAACGATAATTTAAACCTATGTAGTGCAATAATGACAAAATTTTTATGATAATCATTACTGAAATAAAATATTTTTTCTACCTACGATCACGCAGCTTCTCAATTCAAATATCAAATTCGACTTTCAAAACTTTGTTCTAATTGCGAAATAAAATGACCTGTATAGTTTCTCATTAATAAATGATAAAAACTTTTGACGGTGCTTATATGACATCATAACTCTCTGTATTTCACACTAAATTCATATAAGATGAGGTGATGAAGAGACTTGCAGACAAACTTGAGGGTAAAAACATGTTTAAACCTCTCGAAGATTATTTTCCGTAATTTTTTGTAGTATTTATTCATGCCATTAATTTTTTACCTTCGTCATTCGTGCTGGGATCATTCTCAGATTCTTTGAGCATACGAAGCACGGCACTGTTGGATGCATCGTAGTTTTTCTCGTTTTTCTTGAAGTTGACACTGTAACGAAAAATATTATTCAGCGAGTCAGAGGCTATAGAGTCAAAGAATTACTGAGCCGACCCGGTACAACGCATCGAAAAGTGAAAAGGATTACCTGATGATTTTGATGATGATGGCAAAAGTTATTTTGGAACGATGAGCAATCTCAAATCAGAATCGGAGGATGATTTCATAAATTTCATATATTTTTTTCATATTTTAAACGCTTTTGAATACTCACCCTAAGGCACCTGTAGATAATACTTCTGTTTGTGCTGATAAAGTCTCGGCTATACTTTCTTCAGAATACAATTTCATAGGAGTGTTGTATTGTTTATTTACTAATTTTGGACCCCCATTCAGAGAGCCATTCACCTGAAATTTGTAAAAAAAAATTGTTGGATTCCACTGCAAATCACATGACTGTTTTAGCTTGATTACAGCAAAAATTCAACTTTATAGTAATCGAAAATTGTATTGTAGATACAATACCTATTTTTTAATAACTTCAGTTTATAAGTCATTTATTTCTATTCGAGTAATTTTCTACCTCAAAATAATCAGATGATTTTGCATTCAAGATATTGTTTCTTGAAAACCATATAATTTTTTTCTCATATTCCTAAATAAGGTGATAGTGAACTCATGCAGTTTTTAGGAAATACTCTTTGATGCACACTACTGAAGAAGTAGAAAAATTTACTAAAATCTGGCATCTTTTGAAACACGTTGTGCAACAGGTGTGCAACAGGTGTAAATATGATTATGATAGCAAAAATTCCAATTCTTTCTTCCGCCAAAAGAATAATCACCAATCAAAATATTTAGTGAGAAGGCTGATATATTTGCCAAAGTGAAACTTAGGAGATGATTATATAAGTTGTGACTTCAATGCCAACTAATATACTGAAGGAACTGCGCATGAAGTGTTGATTAACTATATGTATGTTATAATTATTTTGTACAGGGTGATTCACCATAAATGTCCCCCCATCTAGCTCACTTATTTTTGAATCGATTTGAACATTCGAACGATAATCTGAAATGATTTTTCAGAATTTTTTTCCCGTTGCATCAGAAAATACAGGGTGCTCGGAACAAATGATCTACAGAATACTACTTGATTGTTTCAAATAGAACACCCTGTATTTCATTGTTTTGTTAGATTCTTCCTGAAGAGCTGATTTCATCAATGCGTCACACTTGGGGTCTAGCGGGAATGATTACAGAGATATAGGGTGTTCAAAATCGAGATTTTTCAAGTTTAGGATATTTTTGTGTCGAAACTATTCATTATTGGTCAAAACGGCTTCTATGTTTCCATCTTAAATTTTGATTCACTGTCTACTGACATTTAATTGGAACATACAGGGTGGTTCAAGATTCAGAATTCTGATTACCCTGTATCTGTTTCAATTATTAAATGTCAGTAGAAAGTAAACCAAAAGTTAAGATACGGACATGGAAATCCTAAAGTTGAAAAATCTCGATTTTGATCACCCTATATCTCTGTAATCATTGCCGCTAGACCCCAAGTGTGATGCATTGATCAAATCAGCTCTTCAGGAAGAATCTAAAAATACAATGAAAAATTGGGTGTTCCATATAAAAAAAATCAAATAGTACCATGTAGATCGTTTGTTCCGAGCACCCTGTATTTTCTGATGTAGCGGAAAAAAACGTTATCGAACATCATTCAAGTTGATATTTCAAATTTCGAAATCGGTTCAAAAATAACTGAGCTAGAGGGAGGGGACATTTATGGTGAATCACCCTGTACGACTGTATGCATATATACACCAGAGAATAATAGTGAATTGATCCGACAGATGTGTTCATTGATACTTAATAGTACTTCGAGTACCTTGTGAGAAAATATATTTGTACAAGCTTTAGAAAATCGAATTTGTGAAAAACTCAGAAATTGAGCTGCTATATCGACTTTCGATTCTTTAATATTTTGTGTTCTGTGTTTTATTCAACCGAAAAATGTTTTGGTTATGGATTTTATCAATATACTACATACTGTCGAGTTCCTTGTAACAAAATATAATTCCATCAACTTTAGTGTGGATTAAAGTTAGTCAATAATAATAGTTGGATGGATGGGGTTTTTTCGAAAATTTTTTTTGGTACTTACGTATTTTCGTCTGAAAAACACGAATTTCATAATGAGAATGTGAACAAACCACTATTTATCGAGATATTTCAAGAAAAAGTTCGAAATTTTGCCTTCTCTTATTCCCCCTTGTGTTGGATGCATTTACAGGTACTTGCTCTTTTCATTTTGTCATTGGACACTTTATATACTCATGATATACTTCACTGACACATTTTAAGACAGAAAATTCAACAGGAAATATGATTTTTATGGCGAGTTTTTCCTATTTAGTGAGCAAGCATACCAGATGACGGCCATTTAATCCAAATTCGAGATGTCAAATGTCAATAGATTGCTTTGGAATGACATTACACACGCCATTATTTCAAATGATATTCTTCCTTCTTTTCACTAAACATGGATGAATCACAAGAAAATCATATTTCTAGTTGACTCATATCATAAAAAAAATGTGTCCAACATTGTGTGATATATATAAATTGTCCAATGATGGAAAAAGAAGGGCAAATTGTTCTAAATGTGATCCAGAAGACAGGCGGAAAAGATGGTGAAATTTGTAACTTTATAGTGAAATATCTTAATAAATAATGGTTTGTTCACATTTTCATTATGAAATTCGTGTTTTTCAGACGAAAATACGAAAGTACCAAAAAAATTTTTCGAAAAAAACCCCATCGCATGATAAGTGAACTTTTACCACAGTTTGAACTACCACCAGCTGCTTCATTATTGAAGCTCTCGTGATATTTTATAAGTGGAAATCTTGATTTTTTTACGTGAATCAACGTTTTCCTCACCTGGACCTGCGGACTGAACGGTTTGGCAGCCAAATTGTGGCCGGTGCCTATGGCTCCTATGTTCTCCCCTTTGACAGCTGCCAGCGAAGTCCTGGTCACGGGGCTGATGTTGTTGATGCTGGGCGTTGGTGACGAGTACGAGCCCGTAGGAACGACTGAAGGTTTCCAAGTCGAACCGCCTCTGAGAGAGCGAAAAAAAAAATAGAAAAGGTGGAGGTGAAATAAAAATAAAACGATTGGTGTATCTATCACACCTTTGGGCAAACTGTCAATTATTTGGTGACGCGTGAATACAGGGTGTCTGTAAAAGGTTGGGACATGGCTCGGCTGTGGACAAACAAGGAGGATATTCCCTTCAGAAATATTTTTTGTATCGTGTTAATTTTTGATAAATAGAATAGAAAAATAATCTGGTTGGGACATGGCTTGACTGTAGACTCCTGGGATAAAAATGAGCAACATATCAGTTTGTCTACAATAAGAATAAGAATACATTGTAGCCATGATCAATAAACAGTCCGACTAATTAGATTAATTTTCAAAAATGCGCAGGATGCATCATATCAGAAATTATTTATTTGCAAATGATCCTCGAGACTTATCAAAAATCAACACGATACAAAAAATATTTCTGAAGGTAATATCTTTCTGAAAAAAAAAAAACTGGAGATTTCCAGTCTGACCTCTGAAAAGTTATCACCAAATTTGTACGACAACATGGTTGTTTGAAACACTTGCAGGTCACTGATGATGATCGAAAACATCTCAAAACGTGACTAACAGGCACAGAATATGCCATGCCAAAAATTATGAAAATCGATCTCAGCCTACTCTTTTTATGAGCAAAATTATATTTTTCCTAAAAAACTTCAACGCCTTGTACCAACTCAACGAGACGATTTTGGATATAGGTAAGTTGGTCTGAATCAACTTGTTTTTATCCCAGGAGTTCACATCAGCCGATCCATGTCCCAACCTTCTACAGACACCCTGTATAGAGTAATAGTGTGGTACCAATACAGTTTGAGATCAATTTTTTTTTTCGTCGACCTGTACAAAAAATCATATTTTACGTTCAAAATTCCGAACGGAAAACCGACCATTTCCGAAGTACTATTCTTCCGCAGACATACAGTGTGTCCCAGCTAAAACTTGTCATCCCCTAATCTCCGATGTCGTTAAAAAAATTTAAAATCGCTCGGACAGGTCGATTTCAGTTTGGTAGGAGACACATTTTTCTGCAAAGTTGAAATATTTAGCTGCTGTCATCAATGTATCACACGGTCGAAACGGCTTTCATGTCCCTATCTCAACATTCGAATGTTAACGAATACAGGGTGGTTCATAATTCTGAATTTCGAACTACCTTGTATTCGTCTGAATTAAATATCAGAAGATAGTAAATCAAAAGTCAAGATGGGGACATGTGAGTCGTTCTGATCAATAATGAAAAGTTTCGACAAAAAAAAAAATCCTTAAAAAATCTCAATTTCGAACACCCTATATGTCTGTAATCATTCCCGCCAGACACCAAGTGTGATACATTGATGGAAGCAGCTCTTCAGGGAGAATCTAAAAATGTAATGAAATACAGGGTGCTCCATTTGAAAATCGAGAGTTGATGCCCGTTACGCTTCAAGATTTCAACTTCGGAATATGATGATTGCAGAAAAATGTGTCCTCCGCCAAATTGAAATCGACCTGTCAGAACTATATTTTCAATTTTTTCAACGACATCGGAGATTTGGGTGTGACAAGTTTTAGCTGGGACACAGTGTAGGTATTATTCATTTTACAATAATGCGAATTGATATTCCAGGTATTGGGATAATATATAACTATATAAAATTGAATAAGCAGTTCCTTTTATTTCGATAAAATGCGAACAGTAAATATTTCATTATAACATTGATAAGTTCCCAGTTCCTGCTCAAATTCAAATAACATCAATAAAAATCGAAAAAAAGTTATCATTGCAAACAACAGTTTCTTCTCTATGCATCCTGTATTCCTTATTCTTGTAAGTACTTGAAAAGTAGGTGAAATTTTTGATTGTGAACTTGACAGAAAAGTGAATCTTGAAAGGAATTCGAAGAATTTCTAGGGTACGCAATAGAGGTCACTACTCAGTCACTAGCTTACTGAAAATGTGGCAAATGAAGGCGATTTCCGCCTACTATTCAGGTTTTGATTTAAAAAGAAAATGCTGAGAATAGTGCGTGGTTTTGGGACAGTTTCTCCAGACTGAAAATATCTTACCTTTGAATTGTAACCTCAAAATTGCCTCCTGCCCTGACTACAACATCCTGCGCATCTTTGTGTCGCAAGTTGAAGACATCTGTATTATTGATTTTTATGACAGCATCACCTGCAACAAGCCCTGCACGTTCAGCAGGAGA